GCTAAAGCAAGATTTGTAGTTGTCCATTAAAGGTTCAGTGCGTAAGTTTTAGTGGCATCTCGTGGTGAGGGTTGCGAATTGCAACCGGCGGCTCACGGTGCATTCACATGCTCCTCGGATGGTCCCACTTACAGAGTTGTAAAGTCATGCTTCCGACTTCAGTTTGTGTTCATGTGCTCTTAAGTCGGAATACGCACTCAACATGGACGCTACTACAAAGATGTGTTGGATTAGCATTATCACAACATACAGCATATAAACAACACGCAGACATCTAGTTCACTCTACATGAACATCAAACTGTTAACCATATTAGAAATTACATGTCTGCAAAATATGTACCCACAATGTGTGATTTTGCACAAATCAAAACTCTGTATACTTCTTTGTGTCCCATGTACACTTTATTTCTCTTTTTAAATTAAAGATTAATGGTTCTGATTATTCCAACACCACATAAATGCACCATCAGTTACCAAGTGCGCAGGAGAAGCTACGGTGGCCGACACACTCTGTCTCAAATTGAGGACTTGTGGTCCTCAATTTGTCCAAATTTTTCTTCTCTTCCTTTCTTACTTCTATTAAACCAGTCGACTACTACTACTACTACTAACATTACTTCTTCTTCTTCTTCTTCTTCTTCGTACGTATTCAACATAGTGACGAAACGCGCTGTACTGTAGAAACATGGCAGTGCAACATGGCGACCTCCATGTAAGGGGACCTGCAATGTATGTAGATAGAAATGGCTCAATCTAAGGTAATTTAAAAACAATGGTTGATTATGTTTTTATTACCTTCTTTATACACCACTGAAAACATAGTTATGTATAGGTATATTATATTGCGTTTCTGTCAATAGATCCTCCTAAATATTATACACTGAACCTTTAAGAGGGCAAAAAGCATAGTTACGGAGCCTACGTATGTAGTCAACGTAGCTACACTGTGGCTGATGTGAACCTTCTCAAAAATGTAACTACACATCGGGGCTATGGAGACTACAGAGATACCACACGGCAACTGCAAGAAGTTTCTGAAGCACGAAACAGTCTCATATTAGTAATGACCTGAATTAAAGCACGATACTGACAGATCATGTACTATACATCTGTCTGGTGCTGCAGTGGTGCTATGAATGTGAGAAATATTGAACTATAAATCAATTCTTACACAGTAGGTAATTATGTCAAAACTCTCGTTAACCCCTTGCATCAACTACTGTATAAATCCATCTTAAGTTATGTTAGTCTGACATTAGTCCCTGTAAGCGGTCGAGCTCCAAACACACTCAATCTTACATCAAACCCCTTGCTCTAAGGCTTTTTGTTTTAAACGTGTAGTCTTTAAATCCCAAGCTGTGATAACCCCTGATGACATCATCACAGACTTAACAAAGCTGCTGAAACATTATACAGCTGTTTCCACAGGCTGACAAGCACTTAATGATGAGTAAGCTGGTCTTGTAAAACTAAAGGAGTTCTCCTGTAATAGTTGACTGGTTTGAACATTACCTCAGCGTAACTTTGACAAAAATTTATGCAGACTTTATGTTAACTAAAGAAAGTTTGGAAAAGCTGCTAAGAGATGTTCACATTGTACAGTAATTCCTGGAAACCAATAGATGCCTAAAACATAGTACATTAAATTTTCTTAATTGCAGTGGTTGGCAAAATGATTAGTTAATATGTAAAGTGAACTTCATTGGGCTAAAACATGCAAAACAGCTGTTATGGCAACTCTGCCTTCTTTTTAACCTCTGTTAAACAGCACCCACTCCTCCCATACACACCCACTCTCTCTAAGTGGCCTCCGTGATCATTACAAATAACCTGAGAAACCACAGGACCGTGCATGTTTAAACGCTGCTCGACGCTGTCTGCGTCTCTCGATCCTGTCTTCCTACAGCCTCTAGTGGGCTGTGTATTTGCTACAGGTCAAGGATGTTAATGAGTTTACGTGTATGTTGGCCTCGGTGAATGTTATGGGATTCTTCTTCTCCGACAGCTCTGTCAGAACCTGCCCTCCAGCTCGCTCAATATAAAAATGAGAAATGTCCTCTAGGGAAGAAAACGAGAGGGAGAGGAAGAGGAGAGATTAATTAAGATAAATTTAAAAATGAGTGAAAAAAAGGAGGCTGGTGAGAGAGTCAGCTATACCCACAGATTACTAGAGGGAACTATTAAGCAGCGAAGATCTGATATGTGGTGTGAGGAGAAACTGAAGAGCAAAGAGAAGTCAGGAAAAGATGGAGCGAGAAGTAGAGAAAGGTTTCTTTGATGTCTCTTGTCCCCTCAGGTGATCCTCCCTCCCATTCATTAGGGGCCGGTTTCTCCGGAACCTTCCTGTCAATGTGCCATCTGGAAGGCCCTTAAAAAACCACCACATTACAATCCTCTACTTCACAACAAGCAGGCCGTGTTAGCATTCATCACCCCCCCCCACCACCACCACCACCACCACCACCCCCCCACACCTCTAGCTTTCTCTCTGTTGGTTCCCAAATTGTCTGGTATCTTCACACACTTGGGTTAGATTGCATCAGATGAAACTTTAATGGGCCCCATGGGGAAAATGGGTCATTGCAGCAGTAGAGAAAGTAGACAGACGGACGGAAAAATCCATCCATCCATCCATTATCTATAACTGCTTATCCTTTGCAGGGTCACGGGGGGCTGAAGTTGATCCCATCTAACAGGCAGGGTCCAAAAATGTTATGTTCTGGTAAAGAAAAGTCTGTTACTATATTTTTTAAACTCTCAAATGTCAATATTGTTATTGCCCTCATATATGCAGTACTGGCTGGGCTGTACATGCGATACGTCAGACTTCAAGCTTATTATCACATATATATTTGCGTATATGTTAATGGCCATTAAATAACAAGTGCATAGCGATGCATAACCAAATTAAAAAGGATCCTTATCAAAATGTTTGTTTATGTTATGTGTTTATCAGCAGATATATACTATATTAACAATCTTTCTTAAATGGGGATAATGTGGCTTTAAATCTCCAGTATGTGTCTGGCCCTTATCGGGAATATGGAGAAGTGCTTTGCTAGCATTTAAAGACAGAATCTGTCTGCCATCACAAAAAAATTACTGTGATTTCTATCCAAAATGAACAGCTGGGAACACAAACATTGATTTTAGTGGTTGTATGAGTCAAAAAAAGTGATTGATCCCTTCCACAAACCAATGACACAATAACAGCCAACACCCAATTATACAATGTGCCATATACTGTAAGTCTGTGTAGGGAGGGGAGGTTACTGGGTGCTTCCTCAGTCCGCAAAACACAATAAAAAAGTATACACAGTATAATTCTGATAGGGCATAGCTCATCTCTGTGTAATTATGGTGCAATATAATAAATCTTAGTTTGTATAATAACACAGTCCCTCTGACACATGATTCACAGTTGCTGATGGTGAACATTGTGAATAGCTGATAATAGAGATGGCAAGTGAGCAAAGAAATTGAGTTTGACACAAAATAAATAAACCCAGTGTGCCCACAAATCTGTTTGTCTCAGCCATTCTCAGCCTGCAACGCACCATCATAACCGTCATAAGTGCACATCATGCACTTTGCAATTCTGGTCACTTTTGCAACTGAAAGTATCCTACGGAAACGTTTGGCAAATGAGTTGTGAAAGATGTTAACAAATGCCAGAAGTTCAGTCAGGGCCAGAGCTTCTTACTTCTGTCTTCTCCCCGGACAGTAAACCACCACACAGACATTACTAACAGGCTGAACTGTAACATTTCTCAACTGGAGCCTCTTCCGTAAAGGTGTACAGCTTGTGGTTTGGCTTTTAGCAGTTAAAACAAGTCTTTTTTACAGCAATTATCATGACTGCACCAGCTCCAGTCTCTGCTAAGGACCATTCATTCTAGTTTACGTGAGTGAAACTGACAGTAAGCCCTAGAGGCAATATACCTTTCAGTGCCATACATAAGCTCTCCATTTAATTTAATAGATTTTTATAAACCAGCATTATCTAAATGAGCATGGGCAACTGTAATATCGTCAGGGGTAATTTGTCAATATGCTGCAGGGATGTTACTGTGTGAATGTCCTGAGAGATTCTGTTATCTGATCTGTGAAACATGAGAATACATGCGGTCTGCACAGCAACACAAAGTACTAACACACACACACACAATAGGTATGCACTAAACACACATGTAGGACACACGCATTTTGAGCTTTATCTTCCAGGCACAGGAAGCACATATATGTCGAAATGTATCACATCAATTTCTTTAGTTAATCACTCATACATAGGCTTTAAGGCATATACAGTAATTTACCCTTTGTGTGTACACTACACTCAAGGTCTTTCTCTTCTCTGCTTGCTAAACAACCTCAAATTCCACATAATCTCCAGTTTCATTCTTCCAATATGAGAAAAGCAACTCTGCCAGCTTGCAAACCAAATATTTCAGGGGTGCTAGGTGCCTGTTAGTGAGTGCACTAAGCAGGATTAGAGACATTTTCCTGATAAAACCTCCAGCTCGCTCACAATGCTGTGTACTGTATGCATGTGTGGATGTGGGTGAGATGCAGAAGAACACTGTGGAAAAGAAGCCTGCACTTTCACTGAGTGCCTGTAATTTCATTATCCGGGTCTACCCACTACAAATTAGTGTGGGCGTTTTTATTTTATTTTATTTTTTATTTATTTTATTCCATAATGAGATTTTGCTTTCAGGTGACCTGAAAACATGACTCACAGATGTATGACTTGGCTGGTCTTTTATAATATTTTCCAAAAATGTTTTTTATTTATATTAAATATGTCAGAAAGGTTTGTATACACTCAATGGATGAATATGAAATGAATTAAGCACAGTTCTCAGTGAAAACAAACAAGCACTTCAACACAGAAAAGGAAGTTATACACATATTTAGACACATTTTTGCCAGTGTCTGCTTTCATAGTGAAAGTAAAGTCCATTGTGGGAGAATATATATAATACTTTATTTACTTACAACTGATAGCTGTTTTTTCATTTATCCTATAAATAGAGCAAACTTACAGTTACCACTGAGCAGGTTGAGAATCACCACATGCGCACTGTTGAGATTTTGTGATTATGATTTCTACATTATCAGCAGGCTACTCACAGTGTTAACGTGCCCTCTCACCCGGCCAGCTTACCTCTTGTTCCTGCAGTCGTTGCTTTAGTCCATCCTGAGTGGAGGTTTTGTTTTGTCCCAAAGCTGCGGTCCTGTCCCGCAGCCCTCCATCGGTCTACAGCCGACACTTGCGGAGAGCAGGAGCGGGTGTGAGCGTTTGTACCGCCGAGTAGCGTGAAACCTGCCAGAGAGTCACAATAGCACCGGAACATGAGGAGTGCTGCCTTCAAAATAAATACAATAACGTTGTACCTGATAAAAGTCTGAAACGCCAAATGAAGCACACTGCTCTATCCTGGTTAATTCACACATATATTAAGAGGTTTAACGTTAAATAGATAAACTGTTATTTGATAACGTTAGCTAATGTTAGGCTCTAACGTTACCTGTTTCATGATGCTGGATTTAGATGTCTCTATATGTTTTTATACATTTTAGCTGGTTTAAATAACTTGTGTGTGAAGTTTAGTATGACCCAGAGTTAACCATGAAATGTTTTAGCTTTCTTGCTGAGTGGTTAAACGTTAATGTTAGCTTGACTGTTACTTATAAAGTGGGGCGAAACAACTCTGAAGCTCACTAATTATGCTAACACATTAGTCTAGATCCAGGGTTTGTTTAATCCATAGACCAACAGAAAACTGATTTAACAGGTGTAAAACAATTTTTCAGTTTTAACAGTGGTTATGAATATTTCTTGTTGTCACCATGGAGCTAACAGGCAACTTGCGGGCTCCATGAAGTTACTGAAAGCTACTGAATCCAGTTACCTCTAGTTCCAGGCTAGCTGTTTCTCACTGCTTCCAGTCTTTATGCTAAGCTAAGCTAACTGGTGGCTAGCTGTAGCTTTACCTTTTCAAGTCAGGAGAGCAGGTATCTTCTTATCTAACTCTCAGAAAGTTAACGAATGAACCTTACTTAATTGCCTGAACTGCTGATTATATATATTAAGCTAAATTAGTCTACAGTAGGATACTGGAGTTGCAATAAAGACTTCTTTGACCCTCCAATACCTGCCGAAAGCCTCACCCAGAAAGCACAACATTATCGTCTTCATTGCTGTAATTTAATTTATGTAGGTTATGTAAATTACTTCGATTCACTAAAACTTATTTTTTGACACTAAACTATTATAATTGCAAATGTAAATGTAATGTAATTGAAAAAAAATTAATTAATTTCATTTAGCCCATCCTAAAAAAAGTGAAAGGGAAATTAGGTAAAGTTAGCCTATTATTTGTTATTTGCATACATAAACATATAATTATTTTTGACTTTCATTGAGTAATCTACCCTAAAATCATGAAGGACAGTGTCCTCATATTCTGTGTGTTTAATGTTCTTTGAGTGTGATATCCTCACTGGTAACAATTTGACCACAGAAAGGTCGAACTGTGCCCTGTTAGACCTCCTAAACATCCAAAAATAGAAATCCAAAAAGACTTATTTGGGAGCAGTAGTGTTACATAAGTCAACACTAACCACAGATACAGAACACATGATCATTCGTGTGTATAGAGACCCCAAACAGAAAGAAATGTGTCTTTTATTGTATTGGACTTATTTAATGTCATAAATTCAAAATTATGTTTATAATAAACTATGAAAAATCATAAAGAGACCTCCAAACATTTGGGTCAATGCTCCCCATAGACAAATGATACAGCCAAAGCATGTGTTAATCCATCCTAAAAATTTCAGCGCAGTTCACTGTGATCTGACCTTATTCACAGTTAATCTTGTGATGAACTTGGAAACTTTAGATAAAACTCCTCATCAATTTATCAGCAAATACGCGTCTTATTTTGAAGGTTTGGAGGGGAAGATGTGTTGATTACCGTAGTGTGTTTGACACTAGCGCTCTCTCCGTGCAGGGTCCGCCGGTCCACCCAGCTCTCTGCCTCCCTCCTTCTCTGCTCTCACATAAAGACAGCCTTGTTAGTTGATTCAAGACGTCGTTACAGCAGCAGGAAACACTCCTGCCTTTCATTTCCAGAGCCAACAAGAAGTCCGACTGACTCCAATAAATGTGAAGTCGACATAAAGATCTTAATGTAAACTGAAGGAAGAAGGAACTGAAAGAAGGCCCTAAATACAGAAATAAATAAACAAATTCATGTGGATTTTAGTTGTAGGCTTAATTGTGTGGTGACCTATATTTGAGACCTATGTGTCAGTTTTGCTTAAGTAAAAATTGAATTTCACTACTTTATCTTTATTACCATTACACACTGGTGGAAGGAGTAGTCAGCTCAGATATTTAAAATAGCAATACCACAGTGTAGAAGTACCAAAAGTACCACTTTAGAATATATTATTGGATTATGATTAGGCCTATTGAAACACAAATGTATAGGCTACATCACTTTAATGTTGCAGCTGGTAAAGGTGGATTTCATTTTACTGACATAAATTATTTAGCCTGCTGTTTTTGTGAATTTCCCCAAGGGGATCAACAAAGTCTTATTTTAACCTATATCATAATGTATATGTTTTGATTATATTTGAATTATATATAAAGTAATTAGTATCTAAAGTTACCAAATAAGAGTCCATCCATCCATCCATCGTCAACCGCTTATCCTGCATACAGGGTTGCGGAGGCTGGAGCCAATCCCAGCTTACACACCCTGGACAGGTTGGCAGTCAAATAAGTGGAGTAAAAAGTATATTTTTAGGAGAAGTATGAAGTAGCATAACATGGAAATACTTAAATATAGTATCTCAAAATTGTACTTTAGTAAATGTACTTACTTTCCAACACTGTGTTTACAGAACACAAAACTGTATCTACGCTCTCCAACTGTTCTATTAATGACTTATAACTGATCTATAAGCCATTTGTAAATGACTCATTTACTTTTAATAAAGTTAGAGTAACTTACTCACACCTTAACTCTTACTTCTGAAACGATTAATGAGCCACATTCATGTTTTTGGTCTATAGAGCCAGAACAGGTCATTTTGACCTTTGACCTCACGTCATGACACACACTCACACCCACCAGGTTAAAGTAATTTCCATTTAGACCTATAACAAGATAGACAGACTGTCAGATGAGGGAAAAATGCATACATGGATAGATGAGGCTGCAACTGCTGGCTTCAAACTCTCCCATACGACCAGATGATAGACCACAAGACCTGAGCGATCCCCTCCAAACACTTTAACAAAATATAATTTGTGTCAAAGCTCAAACACCTTTAGTCCTCTATATTGATCATACCTGTCAGCAAGTGAGTGAGTGAGGTAAACTGTCCTACTTCTAGATAAAACTGACATTATTTAAACACCATATTCTCATATATGACAAAATAGTGACCCCACATGGTTGGCTGTGAAACTGCAACCTTCCACAAAAGTGCACCAAAGGAATGATTTTAGATCAATGCAGTTCAGTTTTTCCTGGATGTCATAATACATCAAGTGTCATTTTATCATATTTTTACATTTTATTTTGTTTATTTTCTATTATATTTTTTTATTTTATTCCTGAATGAAGCCTCCAGTTACATGTTATATATATTATATATTACGTGTTCTTTGAAGACTCGTTGCATTTAATATTACAAAGCAGACAGACCTGGAAAGACTGGCCTGTGCAGACTCATCATAATGTCATCATGCCTGGTGGATGTTTTATGTACAAAGTGTTAACAGCAGTGTCAGCATGCACAAGGGGAAAAAGGCAATTAAGACCACGGATGTGAATGTGCCAGCACAATGCCCTGTGGGCTTTCTGCATCTTAACAAGGCAACAGGGGCTCACTTTGTTCATAAAACATGGGACTCACACAGAGGCTCTTTGACACTTAAACAGAAATGTGAGATAAAACAGACAATGACAATAAATCTCAGAAAATAATCAGAGAATATTTATATATTTTTAAATAATAACGGTCTTAACAACTCATAAAAAATAAAATACAAAAATATACAAGCAGCTCAAAGTAGAACTACAAGTCAAACCTTAAATATACAAAAGCAAGCTCTCTGGAGAGAGGATATCCACTTAATATAGGCAAGGTTTAGCTGTTTAGTGCACTAGCTTATAAAGAACATCAACGAACATATTTTTCAATAAATTGAGAAACTACAGCAGAGCATTTCTCACCTGTGAACCACAATGGACACGCCTGAGTTTTGTTAAATGCATAGGATGTTTGGTCAAAGTCAGCAACTAAAGCAATGTTTCCCAACTTTTTTGAGACGTGACCCCTTATAACAAATCAACATCTACTTGTACAAAAAAAGCATGACTTGTGAGCAATTCAACCAAAGTAAGGTTTTTCCTTCTCAGATTGTTTAATATGAAGGAGGCCCCAGGCTGGAGACCACTGAACTAAAGTCAAAATATTTTACTTTGGTTTTGTTCACCTCTCTAAAAGATGAGTTGACATGGTTCCTCATCGTTGTTGTTTTTTTTTTTAACCCTTAAAGTTCTGAAAGATCTCTGCAGCGTCCAACCAGGACCGGAAGCAAGACAGGCCTCGGTCTCTGATCTGTTTCCTGCCCTTGTCTGTGATCACGTCGCCGTTCTCCTTCACAATCACTAGTTTGGGCACTGCAGTGATGTTGTAGCGCTGCTTCAGCTCGCTGAGGGAGAAAAGAGATGCAGATTTATTACAAAAAGACACCTGTAAAAACTGCTTCTTTGTTTCTTCTACTTCACGAAAAAACATCATACGGCAGTGGTGGAACATACATTACATTTACTCACATACAGAACTTATGTTTCAGATCTGAGATACTTGTAATTTAACATTTCCATTTATAGGACTTCTGTACTTTAAGAGTGTATATATATATGCATAGTAAGTGCATTTTATTGTATCAGTATGTGTACTCTGTGCAATGGCAATGATGTAGAATCTAATCTAATGTAATATTTTATACACAGTGGTGGAATGTAATAAGCATATTTACTCAGGTACAGTCCAAAAGTACAAATCTAAGATACTTCCTCCATTTCATACGATTTTTAAATGTCTACTTCTCAGAGAGAAATACTTTTCACTCCACTACATTTGACAGCTATAGCTACAGGATTCATTACAGACTCTTATTTTATCAGCTTTGAGAAAATATATACTGATTAGGGAATTTTTAGAAGAAATATTTTTATTTTGAATAATTCTACCTATAATTCGTTTATACAATGTCTGCAATTAGAGAAATATGCTCATTATAATTTACAGGAGCCCAGTGCGTGTTTTATCAGACCATCAGTCCGAAACCCAAAGATATCTGTTTACTGTGTGACAAATATGGCATATTCTCACCATTCAGAGGTTGGGGTCTGAAAAAAATACCTGAAATGATTAAGAGAAAAATCTAAATAGTTAAAAATTAACTTGTCAATCGACAAATCTACTAATCAACTAATCGTATCAGCTCTCATACTTTACTTTCATATTTCCATTTAATGCACCTTCTGTACTTCACTACACTTCAGAAGGAAACATTGTACTTTTTACTCCACTACATTTATTTTACACCTGTAAGTACAAGACACCTTACAGATTTTCATTTCATAGGATTAGTTTAAATATTATAGATTTTATATTGTTATTGATTTACTACACAGCACTAAACATTATTTAAAAGGATTTTTTATAATTAGCTTCTCCTTGAACAGCTATAATATTAAAATATTACATACACAAAAAAGTAAAGCTGAAATAATCAGCGGATCAACTGATTATTTGATCGATCGATCGATCCAAATATTTCTGGTTCCAGCATCTCAAGTGTTCATTTTTGCTGGTTTCTTACTCTTACACAAGCGTAGAATGAATATTTTGGGGGTCTGAACTGTTGATCAGACAAAATGAAACATCTGAAAATGTCACCATGCCTCTGGAAACTGGGATGAATATATGTCACCATTTTCTAACATTTTATAAACTATGAGATTGATTTATCCAGAATGTAATCAGCAGATTAATCAATAATAAATATAACTGTTAGTTGCAGCCATAGCATTGTTACTGGTTTAATGATGAAGCAGTATATCCTAAAAATGTATTATATTATTGTATTACCTTCCTTTTGACCAGATACAACATGAAGACATAAAATGCTGCTTACACATTAGTGCATGATTAATTATAATCAAATATTATATAATACACAACAACATAACACTGACAGGGGCCATTTTTTGCTTCACAATGGAGTACTTCTGATACTTTAAAAACATTTACCTGTTCTTCAACCTGAATGCAGGACTTTTATTGTGGTATTGCTACTTTTACTTAAAATCTGAGGCCACCACTGATGTTTCACCTGAACATTTGTATCTAAGAGGACAAGCATAAAGCTACTATACATCCACAGGTACAGATCTGATTTTGATTTTATTCTATAATAAACAACATAAACATAACACACATGTCCCCTTGTTTTAAAAACAAAAAATAAATAACATGGGGAAAAAACAATCCAACATGGGTCCTAAACAATGAGTGACAAACCTATTTGAAATAAAATTAAATAAACCATAATCTTAAAATTGAACAGATCAATCTTAAAGCCACCCTCTCAGCTGTGGGAGGCAGATTGTCTGCTCTGTATATAAACCTAATCCCTGAGAGGGTGACCCTCATAAGCATTTTACATAAGATGGAGCACAGGCTAATGGGTTGTACAGACAATAGTGTTAAATCCTAATAAGATAAGACAAATAAAGCACAGCCAAGTGCAGCTAATTGTGTTTTTGAGACATTGAATAGAGTTTAAAATGTTGGTGTAGAATATTTAAATGAAGGTGAAGCCGCTAAAAGGCACTTTCATACACATTAAAAGTCAAATAACCAAACCTCTATTGACTTTTCATTAGATTTTAAGACTTACTGTTTGTAATCATCCGTCCAGGGCAGAGCCAGCCAGTCTCCGTGCATATCATGATAATATGCAACCATATCATCTGTCGACTTGTCAGAGGAGACAAAAACTATTTCAAACTGAGCAGGAGGCTCGCTTTCTTCAACCAGTTCCGTGTAGAAATCACACAGGATGGGTGTAAAGTCTCGACAAGGCGGACACCATCCTGCAGAAAAGTAGATCCCTACCACTTTATTTCTCAACGCCTCTTCAGGTTCGACGAAATCCCCGTCTTTATTCAGGAGTGTCCGCCCGGTAAACACCTCTACCATGTCTGCAAAAGTCTCCTGCACACACTTCAAACTAAAGAGTCAGGGAAATTTGACAGCTCTGTGTCGCTTTAGCTCATATTTCCCGAGTTTCAACACCTGAACGTCGGTCAGAAGAAGTGCCGGTTGTCTAAAAGAGCTTCTCCTGCTTTCCTGTATTGTTTACCTTTCTGCAAAAGCTACTTACAGCCAATCCTGTTAATCACTTGCGGACCAATGAGGAAACAAGAAGACTGTGTTGTAATTCATTAGCCATGTGGGGTTTCAGGGGGGAAAGCTGCATTCAAACGCTGTTCGTATGCTAGTAATTTCCAGTTCAACTGCTGCACGACGTCTCACGGCACTTTCAGGCAACCCGGGCGAGCGCATGCGCAGAGCTGCATTACGTGCTGCTGGTGTGTGGGGTTTTTTTTTTCGACATTAAAAGTACAAACAAACAAGGCTCATTTTCATGTCTTATTCATCACAAATCATCTTAATTATGATTAATTAACTATAATTATATAACTTTTCTTATATAGTTATTGGAGCACTCTCACAGAACTGCCGCCATTATCATCCATAAAATGAGTAACAGCAACAATTCCTTTGGATCCTTATTGCTCTACAATGTACACAAATTTTCTACTAAGCGATATGTGTCTGTTATATTATGTATATATACAGTATATGAACTTAAAATAGAGAATGTTTTGTTGGTGGAAAGCAGAAAGTTTAACTGGTAAGAACTATAATAAAAATCACAAGGTATAGTAATATGTCTATTCCACCCATTAAAAAAAAAAATCACATGGGGGTCAATAAATGAGGGTCTGTCTGTCCACAATATTTTAGCCATTTCAACACAATACACCATTAATGATGTCAACATCAGTCACATTTTTTGTTTTGTTCTGTAGTTTCTCTGGAGAAAATCTGGCTGCAGACATTCGCAGGCGTCAAATGTGGAAGTGGTAGATTTTGTTAGTTTGCCTTTCCCATCACATCTGGTTTATTTGTAATCTGTTTTGAAACAATAAAAGTAACGTTTTTTATTTTTTTTATTTTAAAGACTCTAAAAATCTGGATCTTGATTTTGTAGCAATGAGGTTCAGACTATACAAACTTTGAATATCCTGAACCTTATTGCTAACTAAGCTTGTTTAATGTTAACTTGTAAGACATGAATTGTGATTTGGCATGTTATGAATTAAATATTCAACTTTGTCCAATTTGTAATGTTTCAATAACCAAGATCATACACTGTGTTACTTAAACAATTTGTAGATCTGGTAAGCTTAATTGCTTGAAATTCACAACCTACTGTAAAAAATATTGTTTTCCAGACTGAAGGTCAACATACACTGCATGACTAAAAGTATGTGGATACCTGCATTTTTGTACAAAAACTCCTAATTCAGAGGGAAACAAACTGTAGAGAGGGCTATAATTTAATTTTATTAATCAAGTCCTCCTTTTTGCTACAACTTTTCTCCTCCTCTTCGCCCTTGACATCTTCCACATTTCCCGTGTCCTCCCATTTGTAGTAGCATGTATGAAGTAAAACAAGAGACAGAAGGTGAGAAAGACAAGGGAGGAGAGTGAATTTGTCCTCATCATCCTTTTTTGTCCTTCTTTTTCATTCCTCTGCATTGCTGTTGCCCTCTTTCCTCCTGCCATCGTTCATCTTCACCTCCTCCCATTCAATTTACTCCTCCTCCTTTACCTCCCCCTTGTCCTCCTTCTTTTTATTCTCCCCATCCTCCAGCTCAATGTCTGCCTTCATTCTTCTTCCTCTTGTTCTTTATTCGGTCTCTACTTTTCTCCATTTCCACCTCCTTTGTCGCTCCCTACTTTCGCTTCCTCTTCCTTCCTTCCTCCTCTTGTCTACTTCCACTTCTACTGTTCTTCTCACTTGTCCTCTATCTCCGTTCTCCCCCTTTTCCATAATGTCTTCCAACCTCTTCCAAGTTCCACATCCCATATATTATTTGTTTCTCTCTGTGTATATACCTTTCCCATCTCTCAAAGTAATTTTCTGTATCTGTGGTGTAGCTTAAAGTCTGAGTGAGGTATGATGTATTTCTCACTTTTTGCACCAAAACAAACAGAAATCAGCATTGCTAAGCAATTACAGAAAAGATTACTACAAATCCATGCAAAATAATATGTCTTAATACTTTTGGCATGTTGGAGTCTGAGTAGGATGGTGTAATATATCTAAATCCAGTTTAACTTCACATTTAGAATACAGAACTAAAACAACTTTAAAGTGTGTCCACCAAGTACAGTTGTAGGTTAGTGTGCTTCTCTCCGTGTTGCTTTAGTGGAGAGTACTGAGGTCATTTGGAAAGAAACCCGGCCGCTCTTTCTTCCTGAGCATTTGCTGCCCATTAGTGGACTCAACTGCTGTGTTAAAAGACTGAAGGGACTTTTTTTTTTACAAGGAATTACTCTCTCCAAAACTATTTCTACCAACATGACCTCAAATTCCAATTTATCCAACATGCGACGGCTGGTGGAACAACTGAAGCTCGAGGCCAGCGTGGAGAGAATCAAGGTAAAGAAAAGAACAGAAGACAGAAAAAGATTGTCTCTTTAAAGGACGTGAGAGTTTAGGTACTTGATTTGTAATATTTATGAAATATGTACAATGAAAAAGCACCCGCCTCTAAGATTCAACATGCCACTGTATAATGCTTTGCTTTTATTTTATATAATATATTCATCAGCCACCTTCTTGTCTTGTTACACCATGGTCATTCAATACTGCTTCATAAAGTATCATAAAACACAGTCATGTTGTGAATTTTGAGGATGATGGGAAAATGTGTTCTCTTCCCAGACAACTTGTCTGATGTGACGATGTATTATAATATATACACATATACATACATATATATATATATTAGCTTTTTATCTTCTTTTAGGGCTGCCTTTTACATGACTTTGTTTCATTGTTGTTTTAAAGGCTAATTTTCAACTGGCCAACAGTTGAAAATTAGTCCTTTGGCTTATTTACAGTGATGTTGATACATAATCCCTGTGAATAAAAGAAACAACTTTCCAATAAGTCACATTTTAAAAATGGTTTATAAGCATGCAATGGTGGAAAATCCTCTACAAACATAAAACTTGCTTTGTCGTCTTTGCTCTTTAGTTCATTAGTAAGACCCCTCCTTGTTAGTAAGTCATTAATAAGGGTCACATGTTTCTCCATTTCTAATAACATCCTGTCTGCAGTTATAAATGTTAATAAGTAATTAATAAAGGGTCTTGTGCGTCTCAATTTCTAATATCAGCAAAAATATGTCATCTGCATGAACAAATGTTAATAAATCATTAACAAATGGTTCCTACAGTAACCCATCAAGTCTGCTGTGGTAAATGTTAATAAGTTCTTTATAAAGGGATTTGTACCAGATGCATCCTCCCTTTTCTAGAAGGTGAGTGGTCAAACAGTTCATTGGAGGGGTCTCCCAAATAAATTAAATAGTTAGCTGAGTATTGTCCACAACCCAAAAGTTATTCTTAATAATGGATTATGTATAAAGCAAAGCTTCATGAACAATTAATAAAACCATTGATCAATGCTTTAAAACTATTACATAAATAGTTATTATTGTAAAGGTCACTAATATGAATAAATATGTGTGTGTTTGTGTTCCCAGGTGTCCCAGGCGGCTGCAGAGCTCCAGCAGTACTGTCTGCAGAATGCAGGCAAAGACGCCCTGCTCGTCGGCGTCCCCACAGGCAGCAACCCCTTTAGAGAACCACGCTCCTGTGCTGTAGTGTGAAGGTCAGAATCCACATTTACAGCCTTTTACTTTGAAAGTGACACCTATTCTTATTATTATAGCGGAATGTTAATTCAGAAATAAATACATGTTGCACTTTTTGCAGAGGAAGTAGAAGAAGTGGACACAACTGTGGCATCTCACAGGAGCGAGGAATTCCATTTTGTTTTTAACCTTTTTTTGTGAAAATTAGTTTTTACATACATATATATATTTCAAATAAATGTCATGTTTTACTACATTACTGTTTAGCCATATCATGTTTATTTTTTGAAAATACTTTACATACACCTCCTACATCTTCATCTACTTTAATAACTTTTGAAATCTGTGTGAGTAGGATCTCTGTTATATACAGTGACCATTGGCAGAGTCATAAAGTGATCATCTATACAAAGCGGATGTTTATAGCCGGACTCTAAATTACGCCTTGGAATCTTGTGGCGTCAAAGCTTCCTGATGTTCAGTCTAAGTTAGGAGCACAGCCAGAGAGAGGAAACTGGGTCTTCCTGTTCAAAACTGCAAAGACACTCAACAGAGACTTACACTTCCCCCCGCCTTCAAGCTTTTAAAAGTTTTGGAACTTATTTACAAGCTCAAGGCTATGCTAGAAATAAAACATGAATCACCATAGTGTGGGATATTATGAATCATGTTGTCCATTTAATCTAAGTGTGTTCAGTTAAGTCCATGTTTGTTTTTCTTTTAAGCTTTATTTATTTCTATATATTCTGTATTAAATGGAAGTTATATATTTAAAACTGTACACAATCGCCCCAAGAAACCCACTAGATCAGCCTAAAAGAGGTCCAGTCATGAGCCAGCTCTCTACTTTGTCACTTCCTTTTCCTCAGTACTCTGTTCTTGGACGAGTCTCAATAGTTTGCTCATTTTGAAGCCTCCTTTCCTAACAACCTTTGTTCATATACCACACTGGGAGCATCAGATGTTCCTCCTTTTTGACCCTACCTGCATGAGAATGAGCAGTAAGAGAGTGAGATGCAGAAAGTTAACATTATCTGTATGTGGAAATGAGAAACTCTCTCAGAGACAGAAACCAGAGAGCAATGTGAAGCTGATTCACATCAATTTTCACACCCAAATAACTTGCAAAATGCATGAGGTCTGACAGAAGAGGGCTTTCCATACTATTTATATTTAGTTACTGTGGCTGCAGTATATTCTGTTCTGGAGCTCAACTTGCTTTAAATAAGTGACCAGAGTGACAAACTTCAATTTTTAACATCAATAGATCCCTTTCAGTGATGGAAAACTGTTTTTCACCAACGATAAAAAATATACAATGTATCTGAAATGTTAATAGTAAAACAATAAAAAATGTACTTAAGCTGTGTTTTGTATGTATCTATAATGTACTAACCTTTTATATATTTCTAGTATATTTCTACATGTGCTTAATAATATATATATATATATATATATAAAATTTTATTTTAATTTATTTTGTTAATTATTAGTGTAATGTGTAACTTTACACAAAGTATCATGTAGTATTAGCATATATTTCTGAAGATAGTAAAACCTTTACTTACAATAATAGACATAGTATATTTACCATAAGTGTACTGTTTTAAGTATTCCACTTTAATTAGTGTTCATATAGGCCTTTATGTTACATTACAGGGAGGTTTTGAATTCAAATGTAAAACTCCTTTTCAATGGAAAGGCTTTAAAAATTATTATAGTATTAGCCAGACTGTTGCAGATAAGAATGAATAAATTGCAAATATTGTCACTGCAATCAAAATAAAGTCCTGCATTCAAAATTTCAAAGTTCAGATACACAAATTTCACATGTTTGGAATTTATGCTTTTTTTGTTAAACGTCAACACATTTCACACGTCACAATATGAGTTCAATCAACGTCCTGCCCTCATTTTAAGAACTAACATGCAGAGCACTTTAACAACAGCTGAAAATCTTGTGACGTAAAAGTGTACACATGGGTGTATCAGCACACCCTCACATCATTGCTGGGTGCAGCAACAGGTGCAACTTCTGACCACACCCATCAGAGACGCTGGCCGTGGTCAGTGGTAAGACTTGTGATAGGTTTTTGAGACACCCTCCTCCTGCTTTCCCATCACTGTCAGGAGTTTCAGATTGCCCTGCAGGAGATGAGGTGATGCCAACATCCATCATCAACATTTTGCTATGCTGTCGCTCTATAAAAGTGCACAGGTAGTGCATGTCAACCCATTCAAAATCGCTTCCCCTGGACCAGCAGAGGAAAATAAAGCTATCTGTGTGGTAAGTACTGGGCAGCTCACAGGGGTAGATGCAGTACATACATATCTAGATAGATTTCATTTTGGTTCCTGTCTTTGCAGTTTTCTCTTTTGCTATTGCATCCATGTGCAAATTAAACAAATCCGTGCACAGCTTTTTTTGGCATGGCATACAAACACTCTTTCTCTTTTTTCATGTTCTTTCCTGTCTCACATAAGTGGCCTGTTTCTCATAAGCAGATTAAATCACAGGAAAGGCATGAGAGAGGTTGGTTTAATTATAAACCTGACCATAACTGTTGTGTTGTCTCAGTACATGTTATCGGGCTGGACATACGCAGGTTCGGAAAAAATCAATGGTGAAAGCAGAAACCAAGAGTACAATATATATATATATATATATATATATATATATATATATATATATATATATATATATATATATATATATAATATAAATGTAAACAATATGCATTTAATTATTGAGGGAATGTGTCAACATATGCCATCTGCTGGTCAGAACAGAAATATTAGGCAGTGGTAGAAGAAGTAGTCAAAGTGATCTTTTCTAAATAATATTAATTTAGAAAACATTGTTCATGTGAATGTTATACTATTACATATTTTATCTTATAGTAAGATCTTTATCACTGATGCATTACATTTTGCGGTAGTAGCTCGCTGAAGTGGAGCATATTTTAATTTCTTAAGCTGTTAGGTGGTTAAATCTGTGACAATGCTTTATCTTTTATAAGATTATAATTTGTTAATTTGGAAAGGAATTTGGTACTGCAGCTGTCCGATAAATGTAGTGGAGTAAAAAGTACAACAATTCCCTCTGAAATGTAGTTGTGGTAGAAAGTTTTAATTTTAGGTACAAATGCAGGATATTCTGCATTGCCATGGTTATCTGACGCTGGCCTTTTACCTTCTCTGCCAGGAATGTGAGGAGGTTTGCTGTCTAGTCGGAAAGATTATCATCAGACCTTGGGATGTCTCATTTCCTTGATATGCTGGATGTAAGCTAGATTCTGTTGTTTTGTTAAGAAGAGTTTAGAGAAAAGCCTCTTTGTGACCTTGATATCTTGGTTTTAACTACACTGTTGGAAAGATTGTTTGTTCAGCAAACTACATGCCATCACCGTTGTGTGGGGTCTGTTTCCAGGTATCTAGACAACTGAGACTCTCCAGAGGGTGTTGGTTCATTCATCAAAATGTAGACTGACCTGAAAGTACAATTTTTACTGATCAATAGTGAAGTATAAAATGGAAATACTTAAGTAAAGTACAGGTATTAGTTGTAGCTATTTGAACTTTTCCCATTCAATTTTTTTGATTGTTGATTCATACTCTGTAGGAGTCGGCACCATTAAGAAGTGCAGATGTTGCTGCAGTGTATTTCATTTAGATTAATTCTTTTTTGTCCTCAGTGGAGGAAATTTGTTTTCACAATCTGTACAAAGAACACCTTCACCATGAATTCTGCACACAAACAACACATAGTGTACATATTACATTACATTTATTCATTTAGCTGACGCTTTTTTCCAAAGCCTAGAGCAGCTGTCTGTATCTACGGCCAGATTGGAGAAGGGTGAAGCATGAGTAGAGAGGGCTGCTGGGATTTTGTACTTGCTCTACGAGCACTGGCAGTATTAATGAGGGCTGGCAGGTTGGGAGACCTATTATTTTGGAGGAGGTGTTAGTGATTTTAAGAAGCTTATTCCTATTGGTGAGAGAGAGCATGGTGAAGCAGCAGGTAGCACAGTACAAGAGGATGGGTTCAATGATACTAAGGTACAGGAGAAGCAGTTGGTGTGGTTTGACTGAAAGAGTCCTGAGTTTACGTATGACAAAAAGTCTTTGTGGACAGCGTCTGTGGATGTCTTTGATGTGGTGATCAAAACTCAGTTTATTGTCCACAGAGATGCCAAGGTACATGAAGCTGAACAATTTCTACTGGCTGGCTGTTTATGGAGATGGGGCAGTGAGGGGTGGATTGGCTGGTTTTGTCAGTCTTCCTACATTGATCTACTTTCTGTTGGCCCAGGGAACCTGCAAAACAAGTACTATGTTGGCATGTTCCTCCAATGCAATGAAAAATACACATTTTGTAATATCAGTGACATGCTGTTTAACAAGCTGCTGTCCTTGTCAATGAACATTCCACCTGTCACTTCATTCTTAAGAAAAGGAAACCCAGCTATAAAGGAGCAGTTGTTGTTTGATGCGGAAATAACCTGAGTATTTCAATGGAGTCGTATTTTCCTTTAAAGGTGTGGGCGGGGAGCAGAGAGCAGAGTTGGATTTCAGTGCCACCCCCCTGTTTTCTAACCTCACTCAACTGTGGTGCAGTTCAGTTGGAGTCCATGGAGGCACTTTGAGCTGTGTGTGTGTGTCTCTGCTTTGGTCATAACCTCAAGCTTTCCTGGATGACTATGAATCTTGCTGCCATCAATGAAGGACCACAATACAACACACAGTTGGGGAACTTGCACCCTTGTTTCAAAAGCCATTGACCTCCGAGAAAGGATCGATTCAGTTTCACTCCCATTTGTCAATGACGCTGAACTTTCATGTGTCGGATGAGCTCTTTTATCAAGTGAGGAGATGGCCAAGGCATACAGACTCTATCTAGGAATAGCAACAGGTAAGATTTATCGTTATTTTATACCTTTCAGTGTTCACCTTCCCTACTTATTGGTTGCAAACAGAAGGCTTGCTTTAGGATAAGCTTTTGGCAACTTCAGACAAACACATTTACATTCCTGTTGTCAACTATATCATGTTACAAATGCCACTGGATGAATAAATTCCATATTGTTTTGACTGAAGGCACACATCCATGTGCCTTGCAGCCAAAGCAGGTTTGAAGACAGTGCTCTCCCTACTGAGCTATATTTGTACAGCAGATTCAATGTTGGTTAATTATTGAATGAGGAGTTCATAAATCAGCAATAGATCCACTGTAATTACTAATCATTGTCAAAACAGGCTTCCCTAATATGGAATGAAAATATGCCATTTGGCAACTCATTGTAAAACCCTCATTCAGTAGGACTATTTGTTTAGGTTTTCACAGACTGTGGTCAAATTTAAGTAATTAAAACTGATCTTAAGAGTGACCAGGGTAGTTTTTAGTTTAGAGCAGTGTGTGTGTGTGTGTGTGTGTGTGTGTCTGAGCAACAGAAGTGGGCGTGACCGAGAGAAAATGCCACTTTCTCCAACCCTATAAGGCTGGCTGGCATCATGACTCAGCAGCTATCGCCAGTAACTTGTGATCCTGTGTTTTTGACCCTCCTGTCGTCTCTAACGTAGATAATACACTGTAGGTGGAATGTGCAAATCTGCTTCAAATGTTTGCATATTGTGCACGTGCATAGTTTGTTGTGAGTGTGTACGTGTTTGATTGTCTTTTTGTTTGTGTTTCTGGCTGCAGCTCTGGCCTTATGCAAATACTCCCTGGCAGAATGGAACGCCACCGACGAGTCTGCCAATCGGACTGTGTCCCACTGTCATCGCCATGGCAACAGAGACAATTGCACAGGTACAGTAGATCATGCACAAGAGGCGAGGGCGGCTCCCTTTGCGCGTGTCATAAATGGTTGCTTTGAGTTTTTAATTGAAGAATGGGCAAAGCACAGATGTGGTTGTAAACATGCAAACACTCCTACTTTCACAGGATTTGTGTGTTTAGGCCTATTTTGACTGCTATTCACCATTACACTAAGGCAAACATGTTTCTGATTTTGTTTCCAAAAAATATCTTTTTCTTTGTTTGACAGCATCAGAGGCGAAAACAACAATATGTCTGCTTTCTGACAATTCACTTTTTAAAATCTAAATGTTTAGACACATGATTCTTTGATTTCTTGCAGAGAGCAACTTTTTAAGATTGATACCACTCTCTAAGCTAAATCTGAAGGTGCTACAACCAGCAAGACTGGACACAGCGGTAAACATCACTCAACAATATAGAAAGATATAACACATTAATTAGTTGGCGTAGGTGATGTTTTTATTCCTTTCCAAGCTAGTTGTTTCCAGAGTTACGCTAAGCTAAACTAGGCAACTTCTGGCTTTAACTTCAAAAATAGC